AAAAAAAAAAAAAAAAAGAAACTTCCAGATAGGAAAGGATAAACTCTCAGCGGCAGGAAGGCTGGAGGTTATTTCTCCCAATAAAGGGCAGGTGGGGCCTCTGAGGCTGTGCGAGAAGCCCTCCTTCCACAGTGGCCGCACCCACCGTGAAGCGTGTGATGTGCCCGACATGCGCGACGTGCGCATGCGTGCAACCTGCGTGGGAGCAGAGCCTGGTAATCAGCAAAGAGACAAGGCCGGGAAGTGGGGCAACAAGGCTCATTTGTGTGGATGCTTCTCATTTTGTTCATCTTTATCTTCTTTTTCCTTTCATTTGCAAAATACAGTAGAATCTCCACAGCTGACCACCTCCCTCCACTGACCACCGTCTTTAAGTTGACCTAATTTTCACAGACCACGCGGGCTGCCCGTGTACGTATCCGTATGGTAGGCCTAGTTCCAACGTATGTTGACCACTTTGTTACCGTCACTTAGATGGTCAACTCACAAAGGTTCTACTGCAATAGTATCAGCTTTTTTTTATTTTTTCAAAAACATCCATTAACACATTGCTAACCAGTCATTAGTTATCTGGCAACATGGATAGATTCTGTGTAAAATTGCCAATCAACAAGGTATGAAAGTGTGCATTCTCCAAAGGAGTGATACCTTCCTCGAGGGAGCCAAGCTTGCATCTCAGGAAAAGATTTTTTTGAAGTCTTACGCTTTTATACATGAAACACATGTAGGTATTCATATATAACATATAAACATATATAGTATTTATGTATATAAACACATGCAGTATATCTGTGATATTGAAACTTCATGAGAGGATGGGGTGAACATGGGAAGCAGGGCTTCCTACATGGACCCCTGGGAGACACAGCTTCTGAGAGGGTTGCTAGATGGATAGGTGAGACCACTGCCACCTTTACAGGGTGTAAGACACCCTGTTCAGAACCCAGCTTCATAAGTCACAGCCACAAGATCCCATAAACACTCTCTCACGCCAAACATCCAGATGTCGTCTTGGGGACCAGCGAGGAATGGGTGAAAAAGTTCCAAGAATTAACTTTCCACATAAGACAGACTGAGTTGCCCAAATGAGACTGTTTGAACCAGGAAATGAAGATGTAAGAACTGAAGATATCTTTCTCCCTCAATCCAGTAGGAGTTTTTATAGAAGATAATAATCTTTAGGAGAACTGGTTAGCCACATATAGAACACTGAAACTGGACCCACACCTCTCACCACTAACAAAAATTGATCCTTGCTGGATAAAAGATTTAAATTTAAGACGTGAAACTAAAAATTCTAGAAAGTGCAGAGAAAACACTTGAAAATATTAGCCTGGGAAAACATTTTATGAGGAGGATCCCCTTGACAATTGAAGCAACACCAAAAATACATTAGTGGGATTTGATCAAGCTAAAAAGCTTGTGCAAGCTAAGGAAATTACAACCAAAGCAAAAAGATAGCCTTCAGAATGGGATATTTTTGCATAATTCCAACAAAGGTCTCATAACTGGAATCTACACAGAATTCAAATTAATTAATTAAAAAAGAGCAAACAACAGGTTTGTTTGTGGGCAAGAGACTTCAACAGAAACTTCTCTGAAGATGACAGACAAATGGCCAACACATGAAAAAATGATGCTCATCATCTTTAATCAGAGAAATGCAAATCAAAACCATTCTGAGATATCACCTAACTCCAGTAAGATTAGCTATGTCACAAAATCCCAAAACTACGATGTTGGTGTGGATGTGGCAAGAAGGGAATACTTATACACAGCTAGTGGGATTGTAAACTAATACAACCTTTCTGGAAAGAAGTATGGAGAATCTTCAAAGAACTAAAAGTTAACATTCCATTTGATCCTGCAATTCCATTACTAGGTATCTACCCAGAAGAAGAAAAATCATATTACCACAAAGACATCTGCACTAGAATATTTATTGCAGCCGAATTCATAATTGCCAAGTCATGAAAGCAACCCAAATGCACATCAACCCATGAATGGATTAACAAATTCTGGTATATGTACACCATAGAGTACTATTCAGCCATAGAAAGAGGGAGACTTCACATCTTTTATGTTTAACTGAATGGAATTGGAACACATTCTTCATAGTAAAGTATCTTAAGAATGGAAAAAAAGGATCCAATGTACTCAATACTATTATGGAACCAATATATAAACACTTATACACCCATGTGAATGATAAAATACAAATATAGTCTAGCAAAAGAGAATGGAGAGGAGAAAGAGGGGAGGGGAAAGGGGAAGATTATTGGTGGGAGGAGGGAGGGCATTTGGTGGGATCTCACCTAATGTGCACAATGCAAGGGCATATTTCAAAATAACTAAGAGTAAATTTTAAATGTCTTACCACAAAAAACAAATAAGTGAGGTGATGGTTATGTTAATCAGTTTGATTTAAGCATTCCACACGGTATATCAAATCATCACATTGTACCCCATAAATGTATACAGTTAGGATTTTAATTTTAAAATAATAAAAAAAAAATCTAAAGGGAGGAAAGAGAAAAGGTAGAGTAAATTCACTCTAATCAGTGCAATGCACATATTCTGAATGAAAGCACACTTATAACTTAAAGTGTACAAAATCAAATTATGTAAGCAAAATATGTGTACCCCTGTAATATTCTGAAATAAATTTCTCAAAAATTTGAAAAGAAAAGAAATGTACCCCCAAAACTAAGAATAGATGCACATGAGTGGTAAAATTGTAGATGACTGCTCCCTCTATTTGCTATATAGGCTATAATGTGGATTCTGTTACTTCCATAATAAAAATATTTTATAAGAAAAACTAAGACCCTAATGCTGCTTTAAGAGCCTACTTAATGTGGATCTGCAGTTGACATGACAGTTACTTAGGAGAATGGCTTAATTAGTCTACTTAGGGGATATACAACATAAGAAGCCACGTTTTGTCTACTAAGATTCACATGATTGGAAAAAATGATATAAATTAAAGAGAATGGTAAGGGGTCACCAATAGCATAATAAAGATAAGTTAGTAGAAGAAAGGAGAAGAATAAAATCTCTTTTATCGCCGTTATTGAATACCAACATTGTCAGCTTTATCACACTGAATAAAAACATCAGAATTGGTAATATGTGTATTTCAGCAAAGTTTTATATATATGTACCTACATACATATATACACAGAGAGATATATTTTTGTATTCAAATAAACTAGGAAAATGCTTACTCTGAAAATCTCCTGAGAAATTGTCTAAAGACCCGTCTGCTGATGTTGAAGTTGTTTCACTGCCATTCACTGGCTCTGTTTTAACTACAAAAATAAACAACATACAACATTTAAAAAAATAATAAGGCAGCGCCCGTAGCTCAGTCGGCAGGGCACCAGCCACATACACCGAGAGTTTTGGGTTTGAACCAGGCCTGGACCAGCTAAAACAACAACAAATGCAGCAAAATAAATAGCTGGGTGTTGTGGCAGGTGCCTATAGTCCCAGGTATTCGGGAGGCTGAGGCAATAGAATTGCCTCAATTAAGCACAAGAGTTTGAGGTTGCTGTAGGCTGTGGCTCCACAGCACTCTACCAAGGGCAATATAGTGACACTCTGTCTCAAAATAAATAAATAAATGAATAAAACATGAAGGAGCCCCTTGGGGTTTTTTTCCACATGGAATTGTAGTATGAGTAACTTCCATCCCTAATCCTTTCACACTATTATTTACAAAACTCACACCAGGTACAAATAAGGCAGTTTACAAAGTTACCTTTTTGAATTAAAGCTTCACAACACCCTTGTGGGATAGGAACCATTGTTATCTGTGTTTCATAGCAGAGGAAACTGAAGATCAGAAAGATTAGCTACTTGCTAAGAACACACAGCAATTCCAAAGTACAAAGAAAAGAGCCTAGATTGGAAATCAGGACTCCTGCGTGTTAACTCTTGCTCTGCCACTAAACATCTCCCAGCAAGCATCCAAGTGAGCTATCAGAGCATTCAGACAGAAGAGCTTTTCTCCCCAGGGAAACGTCATCACATCAGGCACATGGATCCTCAGATCCTCACAGTGAACTTACCCCCTGTTGTTGTAGCCACTGTGGATACTACGTGCATTTTCCAGCTGTATATACCACAACACCCTGTGAAGACGGGGGAAAAAAGCACCATGAACCACCAAGAAAAGAAAAACACTTTTGATCTCAACCTGAAGAATCACTTCTGGGTTGGCCTCACAGAGGATGAGACTAGATGAGAAACCCAACTAGCTGAGAGACAAACTCTTATTTCATGTGATCTTGCTAGTGACCCTTCTTGATTTTCTACAATTTGTTTTTGTTTTTCATCATGTTTGTCTTTATCTCTGTTGTCTTTTCAGTTACAAAAATAGTCCCAGCTTTTTTTTTTCAAAAATATACATTGAAGGTTCAGCACCTGTAGCTCAGTAGTTAGGGTGCCAGCCACATACACCAGGGCTAGTGGGTTTGAACCCACCCACACCTGCTAAAACAATGACAACTTCAACAACAACAACAAAAATAGCTGGGCGTTGTGGCAGGCGCCTGTAGTCTCAGCTACTTGGAGGCTGAGGCAAAAGAATCATTTAAGCCCAACAGCTTGAGGTTGCTGTGAGCTGGGATGCCACAGCACTCTACCAAGGGCAATATAGTGAGACTCTGTCTCAACAATAAGAAAAAGGAAAAAATATATATATATATATATACACACATATACATTGAAGTGTGTATTCTTTTTTTTTTTTTTTTTGAGACAGAGTCTCACTTTGTTGCCCTCAGTAGAGTGCCGTGACCTCATAGCTCATAGCAACCTCCAACTCCTAGGCTCAAGTGATCCTCTTGCCTCAGCCTCCCAAGTAGTTGGGACTGCAGGCACCCACTACAACACCTAGCTAGTTTTTAGAAGCAGTGTCTCACTCTTATTCAAGCTGGTCTTCTACTCCTGATCTCCAGCAACCCACCTGTCTAGGCCTCCCAGAGTGCTGGGATTACAGGCATGAGCCAATGCGTACAGCATAAAGTGTGCATTTTTAAAAGGGGTGCTGTGTCCTCCAAGGAAGGCAAACTCGCCTTTTAAGAAGAGATTTTTTTTTAAATGTCTTACTTTTTTATGTTTAAGACACATGTGGATATCTATATGTAACATATATAGATGTACAGTATATCTGTGACATTTAAATTTCCTGAGAGGGCAGGTGATTGGATCTTTAAGTGTTTGAAAAACAGGGCAGCCCTGCAGCATGCAGCTTCCCGGCACCACACCATCAGGGTCTCCATCATCATCAGCATCACCAGCATCATCAGCATCACCAGTATCACCAATATCATCTTCACAACTTTTTGCTGATTAGCTTCAGGGTAGAATAAGGGTTGCTAATGGTTAACACCAGTGCCAGTGCCCCAAAATGACTACTTTGCACCCCTGTATTTGACGTCCATGAGCCAACCATTTCTTCTAAGACAGCCTGCCAATCAACAGCTTCCACAGTGACTGAGTGTGGTGACCATGCCTGTGATCCCAGCATTTTCAGAGGCCAAGGCAGGAGGATCACTTGAGGCTGGGAGTTTAAGAACAGCCTGGGCAACAGAGCAAGACCCTATCTATACAAAAGTTTTTTTAAAAATCAGCCAGGTGTGTTGGTGGGCACCTTCAATTCCAGCTACTTGGGAGGCTGAGGTGGAAAGAATGCTTGAGCCCAGGAGCTCAAGGCTGCTGTGAGCTATGACTACACGACCACACTCCAGAGTGGATGACAGAGCAAGACCCTGTCTCTAAGAACAAAGGAAAAAAAGCCCCTAGACCCAAATTCCCATCTGTTATCACTAACAAAAATTCTTTTGCTTGGTAATTACTTTAAAGCCCACACAGTATACTATGCAGGCTCTGGAGTCAAAACGTGTCAGTTTAAAAATCTGGCTTTACCAATTAATGATTGCTTGGCCTTGGAAAATTTATTTAATCTTTTTGTGCCTCAGTTTTCCTCTTAGTAAGATAGGAGAATGTGCAACAGCAGAGGAGAGCCAGACTTAAAACTAAGAAAATGTCCCCTATTCTTATGTTTTACAAGAATGATCTAAAGTCACAAGATGTAGAAGAAAAAACAGCAACGTGAATCATAAAGGCCAGGACAAACTGATGCCCAAAGAAAGAGAATGAGAGTAGACAGGAAGGTTTTGTCTCATAGTTCAGGTCTTGATGCAAACGGCCATGGAAGTCTTCTCTAACTTCCCCTTCATCTTAACCCCCAATCGTATTCTATGACAACTTATTCTGTAGCACTTATCACTACAGATAAGCATTACACTATATTGCACAAGAAATTTGTCTGCTTATTATCTGGTGCAACAGAGTGTAATGCTATTAAGGCATACAGATTCTCAAGTCAGATGGCCTGGTTTGAAACCCTAGCTCTTCCCCTTATTGGCTACATGGACTTGGGCAAGTTATTTTATCTCTTTTGCCTCCATTTTCATCTTTGAAATATGAGGCTAATGATAACCCAATATCATGGAACTTTTGTGATATTCTGACTTTAATGAACTTAGGACAATGTTAACTGGGTAACTGATGTGACAGTCCCTGGCTTCTGCTCTGTCTGCCCCTAGCCCTAATCCTAACCTCACAAGCACAGAAACCTTGTCGGTTTGTCCATTGCTATATCCTCAGTGCCTACCTAGAACAGCACTGGTCACACAGCAGGTGCTCAGGAAATCTCTTCTCTGGACAGGCATGGTAGCACACAACTGTAATCCCAGTACTCTGGGAGACTTAGGCAGGAGGATCGCTTGAGGTCAGGAGTACGAGACCAGCCTGAGCAAAAGCAAGACCCTGTCTCTACTAAAAATAGAGGAATTAGCTGGGCATTTTGGCTACTTGGGAAGCTGAGGCAGGAGGATCACTTGAGCCCAGGATTTCGAGACTGCAGTGAGCTATGATGGCACCACAGCATAGTCTGGACAAAAGAGTAAGACTCAGTCTCAAAAAAAAGAGAGAGAGGAAAAAAAAGAAAGAAAATCTGCTTATGGAATTGTGTCAAAGGGGCCCCAATGAAAGTGTTTGCAACATCCAACCCAGTGCCTCATTCAGACCTCCTCCAGAACCTGCAGCCCCCCCATTCAGCTTCACACTCACCCCAGCAGAGGAGCAGGCTGAAGGGCCACATCACTTCGTGGTTCTGCTGTTCCAACAGGGGAACCTGTCGTTCTCACCCAGGGTTTTTAATAACAGCAGATGTGGAATGAGAGGGAGGTGGAGCCAGACTTGCTCAATGCCCAGTGCATCACAGCCTCTTTTTGCTGAGTTGTTGACGCTAAAGGACATCGTGAAAAACTCATTTCCCCCTTTCTCCATAATGAAGGGAAGTTAATCTGGCTAATGTGTGCTATTCTCTACTGCTCCCTCTTTCTCTCTTTTTTCTTTCCTCACCAACATCCATCTCCCCATCTCTTATCTCCTTCTTTCACTGAACCCAATAAATGAGTTTCCATCTCCTGCCCCTGGTGAAGCAAGCCCCAAACTTAAGGGTCTCTTCCCAGCCTGCCACACAAAAATGGCCTTTAAAACCATCATGTACAAGGTCCTGGGCTGAACACACTACCAAAAAAATTCATTTCCTCACCATGTCATCTTCACAAAGTGGGAATTCCCCTGCTTCCACTCAAGAAAAAGAAACAGACTTGCAGAGGAAATATAATTTGTCCCAGGTCACACAAACCCAAGATGTGAAACAAAAACCCTCTGGCTCCAGGGTCAAGAGCTTTAACTATTTCATTTCCTTCAGTCTTCAACTCTATCTGACCACCGTGCATTAGCACTCCCAACCCCTTCTCAGTTTCCTCATCTATCTCTGTCCTCTCTTCTCTCTTTTCTCTCTCTCTCTCATAAATATGGAGATTTAATAATGTCTTAAGGTCTTTGGGGGACAAGACATGATTGTAAGAGGGACTTTACCTAACAAATGCAATCAGTGAAACCTAGTTTCTTGTACCCTCAGTAAGTCCCCAACAGTAAATTTAAAAAAAAAAAAAGACACACACAAAAAAAATCCCAGCATTTTCGGGGGTCAAGGCAGGAGGATTGCTTAAGACCATGCGTTGGAGACCAGCCTGAGCAACATAGTTGTTGGGCAGGGTTTTTTAAGGCTTGTGGAATTGGCAGTGACTGACTGAAGAATATAAAGTTAGAAATGACGATAAAGAAAGAGACAAGAGACATAGAATAGAATTTTTAAAGATGAGAACTCAGGAGACCACCGCCCATTTGTGGAGTTCTGGCAATGGCCCTGGCATCCAAGAATATGGGGAGTGGGTGGGGGAGGGGAGGGGAGAAGGGCAGCTGGGTGGTGGGAGGGTGACTGGAAAGATCACCTATATGGTCTGTCTAACAAGGGTACAAGTGAACTTTTCTAGAACTAGAATATAAATGTTTTGACACAATGACTAAGCAAATGACATGAAGTCTATGTTAACCAGCTTGATGAAAGTATTTCAAACTGTATATGAAAACACTACACTGTACCTCATGTTTGCATTAATGTATACAGCTATCATTTAATAAAAAAGAAAAGATTAAATAAGAAAAAAAAATGGCCCTGGGCATCTGTTTTACTCAGTTTTTTTTTATTAAGTTATATATTCATAGATCATGAATACATTTATACCTTTGCGGGATTCAATGTGTTGATTATTTGAACAAATTGGAGTGCTTATATCCTACTAATTAACATTAACATAGCTTTCATCTCATTTACTTAATCACAATGTTAAGACATTTGTAGATTTGACTTGGACCCTTGCAATATACTCCATAGGTGTGGTCCCACCATTACCCCTCCCTTTATCAAATCACCCCTCTCCCTTCCCATCTTCCTCCCCTTCCTGTCTTCATCCTGGGCTATAGTTGTGATTCATCTCTCATATGAAAGTGTGAGTGATTATAAATTGGTTTTATAATAGTACTGAGTACATTGGATATTTTTTTTCCATTCCTAAGATACTTTACTAAGAAGAATATCTTCCAGTTCCATCCATGTAAACACAAAAGAGGTAAAGTCTCCATCTTTTTTAATGCTGCATAGTATTCCATGGTATACATATACCACAATTTATTAATCCATTCATGGGCCAATGGGCACTTGGGCTTTTTCCAAGACTCGGAAATTATGAATTGAGCTGCAGTGAACAATCTGGTGCAAATATCTTTATGGCCAAGTGATTTTTGGTCAACTGGATATGCACCTAGTAGAGGAATTGCAGGATCAAAAGGCAGGTCTGCCTTTAGATCCTTGAATGTTCTCCAAACTTCTTTCCAAAAGGAATGTACTAGCTTGCATTCCCACCAGCAGTGCAGAAGTATTCCCTTTTCTCCACATCCATGCCAACATCTGTAGTTTTGGAATTTTGTGATTGGGCTTACTGAAGTTAGATGATATCTCAAAGTGGTTTTGATTTGCATTTCTCTGATGATTAAAGATGATGAGCATTTCTCATGTGTCTGTAGACCATGCACCTGTCTTCCTCAGAGAAGGTTCTGTTCATGTCTTTTGCCCCCAATGAAATGAGATCACTTGTTCTTTTCTTATTAATAACTTTGAGTTCTCTGTGGATTCTGGTTATTAGAGGTTTGTCAGAAATATAACCTGCAAAAATTCACTTTCACTCTGAGGGCAGTCTACCTGCTTTACTTACTGTGTTCTTGGTAGTGCAGAAGCTTGTTAGTTTGATGAGATCCCAGTAATGTATTTTTGGTATTACTTCAATTGCCCTGGGGGTCCTCCTCATAAAGTATTCTCCCAGGCCAATTTTTTCAAGCATTTCCCCTGCACTCACTCCAAGAATTTTTATAGTTCCATGTCTTAAGTTTAAGTCCTTTAACCAGTGATAATCAATTTTTGTTAGAGGCGGAAGGTGTGGGTCCAGTTTTAGTCTTCTACAAGTTGCCAGCCAATTCACCCGGCACCATTTGGTAAATAGGGAATCTTTCCCCCAATTTATATTTTTGATAGGCTTATCAAAGATCACATGACAATAAGTATCTGGGTTCATCTCTTGGTTTTCAATTCTGTTCCATACATCTACCTCTCTATTTTTGTGCCAGTACCATGCTGTTTTGACCACTATAGATTTATAGTATAGTCTGAAGTCTGGTAACATGATACCTCCTGATTTGTTTTTATTTCTGAGTAATGTCTTGGCTATTTGAGGTTTTTTTCTTTTTCCATATGAAATGAAGTACTAATTTTTCCAGATCTTTAAAGTATGACAGAGATGCTTTAATAGGGATTGCATTAAATCTGTAGATTGCTTTGGGACATATAGACATTTTAACAATGTTGATTCTTCCCAGCCATCAGCATGGTATATTTTTCCATTTGTTAACATCTTCAGCTATTTCTTTTTTCAGAGTTTCATCGTTCTCCTTATAGAGATCTTTCACATCCTTTGTTAGATACACTCCCAGATATTTCTTCTTCTTTGGTACTACTGTAAAGGGAATCAAGTTCTTGATTGTTTTTTCACCTTGAGTATTGTTGGTATATATAAAGGCTACAGATTTGTGAGTATTGATTTTGTATCCTGAGATGCTGTTGTATTCCTTGATCACTTCTAAGAGTTTTGTAGTTGAGTTTTCCAGATATACGATTATATCATCTGTAAAAAGTGACAGGATCTCCTCTGATCTTATTACTGAGTTTTATTGAAACTTATTTGTCTAGAGGGTTAGCTGAAGGAGAGAACAAAGAAGTTAGTTGTTTCTCTGAGTAAGTATATCAGTTTTCATAGTTTTTATTATTATTAACTTTAAGGGTCTGAGTAGTCTTGCCAAATTTGAAACCTGAGTCTTGTGTCGGGGGAGTCTCTTGTCTGAAGTCATATATATAGATTTGTAGGGAGGTGTGAAACTCTGCTAGTTCCCTGTGGAATAAAATGCCACTGGTATCAATCTCCTCTGAGGAATTGGTGGGAGAGAGGAAATTTTTTTTTCATCACCACCACAGAGGGTCTTCCTCTGTGATGGGGGATATAAGCCCTCTTGTCCCAATCTCAGGGCTCAAGTTGTTTTTTTGATCTCTGCCCCAGCCAAACATGAATCTTTGTAATGTGAATTTGTTTTGCCTGTTTACTGGACAAAAAATAACCTAGTTAATATATTTTTTAGGTCTTGTCATGGTTTCTTTTATGGCCACTGTTTGTTTTTTTAGCATGTTCATACACCCAACAGGGGTGTTTATAAATTATATTTCCTTTTTCTTTTTTTTTTTTTGTTTGTTTGTTTGTTTGAAACAGAGCCTCAAGCTTTCACCCTGGGTAGAGTGCTGTGTGGCATTACAGCTCATAGCAACCTCCAACTCCTGGGCTCAAATGATTCTCCTGCCTTCACCTCCCAAGTACCTGGGACTACAGGTGCCCACCACAACATCCAGTTATTTTTTGGTTGCAGCCATCATAGCTGTTTGGCAGGCCCAGGCTGGATTCGAACCCACCAGCTCAGGTGTATGTGGCTAGCACCTTAGCCACTTGAGCCACAAGTGCCAAGCCTATAAATTACATTTCTAATAGGCCAGAGTTCTTAAAAAGACAAAAAACTTGTTCAAATAAACAATTTAATAATTGTTGACTTAAAAGTAAACTAGCTGACTTTTCTTTGTTCTGACTTCCTCAACTTACTTTTTAATTTTCCCTTTTTCTGGGGGTTCCTTCCCCTGCCAAGAATGGAGTCTTGAGTCCACATTCTGCCTATAATAGTGAGGCTCCATCTATAAAAATAAATAAATAAATTAGCTGGGCATGGTGGTGCATACCTGTAGTCCCATCTACTCAGGAGGTCCAGGAAGAAGGATCACTTAAGCCAAGTAGTTAGGAGGTTGCAGTAAGATCTGATCACACCACTGCACTCAAGGCTGGGTGGAAGACCAAGACTTAGTCTTAACCAACAAATAAACAAATGAAAAGGTCTCACAAATGTAGACCTGAGATAAGGATTCTAGTGAAAGTGAGGTGACCTCTGAAAACACCAGCTGGGGAGCTAAGAGGACAAGAGATAGGGAAAAGAAAGAGTCAATATCAGATGTGTTGAAATTATACAGAGAAAAAAAAATGGAGCTTTTAACCTAAGATGACCAGATTTTAACATTGGTAAAGTGGGACACCATTGACAGGCGGGGGGGGAGGGGG